ACATAAACCAAAAGGATTTTATCGGAGACCACGCAACTACTAGACAGGACACCTTCGAGATCACACCCAAAAGCATATCAGGAGGCTCAGACTATTAAATATCCCCAATGAGGGAGAACAACAAAAAAGGATACCGTCAGCACGTTGAGGAAGTGGGGGAGGAGGAGGAGGAGGATCACCCTGCTCCATGACGGCTCGAAGTTTCTCGAACTTCTTCTTAGTGTCCTGCATGCCCCACACGTCCTTGCCGAACTGCCGGAGCTTCTTGGGGATGGCGTCTTGGGGCATGAGGCTGAAGCCCAGGGAACGGAAGAACTTCACAGCCACTCCTTGCATCTCAGAGATCAGAACGAAGACCCTGACGAGGCAGGAGGTCAGTCGCGCAGGAGGAGGAGGAGGAGGAGGAGGAGGAGGAAGAGGAAGGAAGGAGGAGAAGGAGGGAGGAGGGAGGAGATGGAGGAGGGAGGAGATGGAGGAGGAGGAGGAGAGAGGAGCACACTTGGATATTCTTCTGTCATCTTTCAGGCATCTGTTGATCAAGAAGATAGTGATGGCCGATGCGATGTGCGAGCGTCGGAAGTTGCTGACGACGAAGATATCGTTGATAAGCAGTTGGAAACTTTCTTTGTGCTGATGGATGTTTCAGCAGTGAGTTCGTTGAAGGCACATTTTGTTCTCATACCTTGTACATGGTGTACTTGATGAAGGCTTTAATCATCTTCAGCTCGAGTGAATGTGCGATGTCATGCTTGTTTCCCATGAAAGATATGATTCCTGACAACATATATGCTCATCAACACCTCAGCATGTCAGAGCACTGATCATTCAACCTTCTGTGTCCCCTATTCCAGTAGCCATCTGCTTTAACGCTTGCCTCACGCTCTCGATACCTACATATCACGTCATCTTCGTGCGCGCCGCATCACAGCAGCTCTACCTGGCACGACAGGTAGAGGAACGTCGAGGTTTTGATCGTAGTTGAGGTCCTTCACCTCCTCCCGGTAGAGCTTGTAGGCAAACACAACTTCCCTCGAGTGCTGCAACTTGGGCCTTGTGATCGTTCCTCCGACATAGCTGTAGAACTTAGGGAAGTAGCTCTCGATCTTCTTGATGTGCTGATTCAGATCGCTCCTCTCCTTCATTGCGCGCATGACGTCTTCGTTGACCGCGTACCGCAGAGCAGTTTTACCATAGATGTCCAGTACATCCGACGAGGCCTCGATCTCTAGCAAATATCTACCAAGTCTCTACGTCAGATGCGCAGCCGGCAACCAAGACATCTTCAAGGCTTACTGGACAAGAGTCAAGTTCTTGTTCATAGTCGCATAGTGCAACGCTGTTCGCTTCTCCTTCTTCGTCGCTAGGTCTGCTCAGGTGCAAACATCACCAACATTACATCTCTCCTCCTCTCCCTCCCTCCCTCTCCCTCTACCTCGCGCGCCCCTCCTCCCTCTCCCTCTCCCTCCCTCCCTCCTTCTCTCTCCCTCTACCACTCTCGCTCCCTCTCCCTCTACCACTCTCGCTCCCTCCCGCTCCCTCTCCCTCTCTCCCTCCCTCGACCTCCCTCCACCCCCACCTCTCCCCCCTCCCCTCCTCCCAGCGGATCTCACCTGGATCTGCGCCAGCTCGCACAAGGTATCTGACTATCTCGAAATTCCCGTCGGCAGCAGCGACGTGGATGGGACTGACCCCGTACTCGTCCACTATGTTGGGACCTCCCATCAGCCGCACAGCCGGGTCGCTGAAGATCTACAGGTAGGGTCAGTGGGCACCACAACGTCTGCAGCTCCCCTCCTACCGCCTCCAGCTTCTCGATGTTGCCGAGTCGAACATGGTCCAGGAGGTCTGAGGTCTTGACGATGCCTGACTTGAGGATGGAGTCTACCATGATGTGCTATGCACACAGGCACGGGGGACGCCGGCAGCAGCAGGTTCGGAGTTGTCCAGCACTGGCAAGACGAGACGGGTGAGGAACGTCAGGAACGCAAGGTCTTCATCTCTCGCCGTACACATACAACCCGGGCCAGCACGCGATCTCCGTCTAAGAGCCGTCATGTAGCAATCAAAACTTTAAAGTATTTCATGATCCCTTCAGACATATCTATACATCATGCCTCACTACAGGCTCTCTCCTTCCTGGATCGTTCCTTCAATCACAGTTGAAATCAATTGCTTGCTGTATCCAAACACGCTAAGAGCTTTATGATTTATTACTACCTTCCTCATTTCATTTTTATCTTCTCATCGGCTAGTCACCTTTCCTTCATCTTCTCCCTACTTCGATCCTCGCATATCCTTTCTTATCCTCCCACTGTTTACATCGTCACTGCTATCCATTCTGAACGGTTTCTACCTGTGACCCATCGTTTTTCCTTACCCCTCTCCTGCCTGCCTGCCTGCCTGCCTGCCTGCCTGCTGCCCAATCAGCTGTATCGATTCCTGCTCTGATCCTTCCTTCTCCCCACCTCCTCCGTTCCTCCTCCTCATCTTCATCTTCCTGTCGCTGCATCTTTCACTACTGCATTTTTATTGGAGGCATTTAACGTCCACCCCACCCTCAGCTGGATGCTGTTTGACCCACCCTACCCCCCAGATGAAAAAGGATCTCTCGAGCCCCACCCTTCCTCTATACCAATTATGACCCACCCTTGCGTATGGAGAAATAAAAGACTTTTCATACCCACCCCCATTCACCTCGCCCCCTACCCTCAGTACCACCTGGCCGTTGATTTATCTGATATTGAAGCGAGAAGGGGGTGGGGTACATCCTCTTTAGTTTCAAGTAGGGTACTTTTACTCTTATTAGGTAGGGTGGGTATCCTGGGAATGGGCCTGAGGGGGTGGTGGGTCCGAAGTCAACTTCCTTTGAAACGATAGCAACTTTAAATACTTTTAATTTGACCCCACTACCCCTACCGCCCCCCGATGTACCCCCTCCTGAAGCTGTATTTACCCTTGAATTAGGGGTAGGGGTGTTAAGGATCCGAGCCGGGGGTCGGTGTGGAACAGAATGTACCCAGTCAGCGGATAGACAAGTAAAGGAAGGGGAGGAGGGACGAGGTGAAGGAGGCGAAGGAAGAGGAAGGGGAGAGGGGAGAGGGGAGAGGGGAGGGGGAGAGGGAGAGGGAGAGGGAGAGGGAGAGGGAGAGGGAGAGGGAGAGGGAGAGGAGAGGGAGAGGGAGAGGGAGAGGGAGAGGAGAGGAGAGGGAG